AAGACTCAATAATGTGATGTCTGTATGTCATTTTCCATATATACACCTGAAACCTTTTCGCCATTAAAGCATATGCAGAAATGATTGATAATAATCGCGGAAAGGAAATGTCACCAACGGGGAATACATTACTTCTCCACAGCTGATACTGAATTATATAATTTGCTTTGTGAGGTAATTTATCATTTCTCAAAATGATATTCAAGTACAGAAAAACTACGTTTGTAACGAACACGCTTATAACAAACTGTCGGATATAACGAACTGTTTCGTTTGGACCCGGGCATTTGCTCTATGAATGCTATATATATATATACTTATAATGAAATACGGTAATAACGAACTAACATCAGTGGTCCATTCGAGTACGTTATAACCGTAGTTTACTGTATGTATGAACGTGAATGTGTCGTCCCTATTATTCTTAAGATGATGATGATAGAGTACGTGAGAGAGAGAGAGAGAGAGAGAGAGAGAGAGAGAGAGAGAGAGAGAGAGAGAGAGAGAGAGAGAGAGAGAGAGAGAGAGAGAGGTTTTGTTTTCATAACATTAATATTTTCCACAGTCATGGTGCAGAACTATTTTTACAAATACGGTGTCCAAAGTCTTTTAGTGTGAATCGTTAATAATGAAAGCTTTTAGTTTTTCAAAGATGAAAGCTGTGATCATCCAATCAATACGGCCATGCAGAAGAAAACTGCACGTTAGCATGGACATCCAAGGCTGCTGCTCGCAACACCATCAACATGCCGTCGCGCATCACTACAAGCCGTATCTCCAGGCAATGGCCATCCAGTTCTCAAAGAGTGATTCAAGAGCACACATGGGCCACTGGCGCTTGGTTTAAATCACTCTTAATATTGCAGAACCATCGAATGTTAGCATGTGGGCATGCAGACCCACGCCACCGCCACGCATAGATCATGCATTTATGGCATGTTTATGGTCGTAATAGCATGATGGATTTTCTTTTCCAAATGTCTTCAAACATAGGTTCATCTAAATACGCATTGATTATCTGTGTCCATCCGTTCAAATATACATAGTGTTTATGCGTATGGAATGTCAATACTGTCGATATATCGGTAATATATAACACTTAGCAACGGTATATATAATTATCGTATTACTATTTAGCCTGGTTTGTTGACATTGTTAGACAACAGATATAAAATGGACTGGCTGCTTGTTTCGACGTGATGACCACAGTGTATTGACTATAAGCTGCTGATGTACATGTGTAATATTAGCATTGATCAGGACGGCGTATTTTAGATATTTATGGAGTCAAGTCTAATAGTGAATTTCAGAATAACTTATCATCATCTTGCATCAGAGCAGTTGGTAGCCTATTGGTTAGAGCCACATATCCATTCCTCATGTCGAAGGCCAAGGTTTGATTCTCTACATGGATACAATGTGTGGAGCTCATTTCCGGTGCCCCGCGCTGTAATTTGCCTACTTAAACTCATTCATAAACCAGGTAAAGAAGAATGCTGACACGGATTTGCTGCGTGTTACTTCTTGGTGCTGAATGTTGCATATCTACACGTCCATTTTTACGTTATTCAACATTACGTCATTTTTAAGTGGAACGCATTTTAGTGACGTCAATATGTAACAAGATACAGTAAACTACGTTTATAACGAACACGCTTATAACGAACTGACCGATATAACGAACTTATTTTTTAGTCCCGACCATTTGTTGTATATATGCTGTATATACGCTTATAAGGAACTACGGTTATTACGAACTAAAATTAGTGGTCCCTTTGAGTTCGTTATAACCGTAGTTTACTGTACTTGTTATCTCACTGTATAGATCTGACTGATCGATTCCTGCTACACTACGGTGACAGGAAAAGTGCATATATGTCGAATACGTACAATATAAGGTTGTTCCGTGATAGATGTTGCTTTATGTTGCCGCGATCCGCCACACGTGGCTGAATGTTGGCGATTTTACTGAATATTGCCGCTTTCGTAAATGTTATTGAACTGGATCGTTGTTCTAGCGTCAGTTTGTAACTCAAAAGTTGCGCTCGAATCTCTATTATTTAAATCTGAACCGAGGTTGAAATACAAATTCAGTACCTGCCATACTGCAAACACGGAATTGATACTCTGATCATATGCCATGTATTACCTTTTCATAAGTAGCCTCAGTGATAGTACGTTAAGGCATTGCAATACTTTCATTTCCAATCTAGAGGATTAAAACATCTTGGTATAGTCTTTGTCGAACAGACTGTATTTCACCAATATATTACTTTAAAAATCATACCAAACATGTTTAATAATTAAAAATATTCAATATGGATATAAATAACAGAAGAAATTCCTGAGTATATTTTCTTAACTTTTAGATTTTCGAACACACCAAAATGTGCCAAGATGATTTACGTTTTAATAAATATAAAACGTTAACGCCAGAGAACAAGCAGCCTTGGCAACCCATCGAAACAGATTCCACTGGACGTAAAATGATATGAATAGATCACTGAAAATCAGTGATGACACCAGGTGTTCCCGAAAAGGGGAAGCATGTCATGCCCTATGGGTTACACCCTCCAGACACATTTGCAAAAATAGTAACAAATTATGAATTAGGGGCAGAGGGGGTCTCGTGGCTTAACCGTTAGCTCGATCATCACGGCAAAGGAATCAGGCTTGAGTCCCAATATGTGTGAAGCCATTGGTGTCCCCTGCCGTGATATGACTGGAATAATACTAAAAGTGGCGTGAGTAAGGATTCAAAGCAAGATATAGAACTCTACAAAGCGTCAGTCTTACAACGAAATTCATAATCATATACAGCCGTGAAGATCCTTTAGCTGTTAGAATTGATATTCAGCAACCCATGCTTGTCGTACGAGTCGACTAACGGAAACGTGTGGCCAGGCTCGATGACTTGGTTGATGCATGTCGTATCCCTATTGCATAGATCGATGTTCATGACGTCAATCATTGTCTGGTCCAGGCTCGATTATGTACAGACAGCCGTCATATAGCTGTAATATTTCTGAGAGCGGCGTTAAACGCCAAACAAAATAAACAAACAGAATCATAAAAAAATACTGAATCTTATATTTTTACAATACAGGCACAAATTCATAGTAAAATTACGCGGTCATGTTTAGAATTCATGTTCGTTAGCACAAATCAGTCTTGATATACAATACGAACCACATCAACGCCTTAGAGACTGCTATTAGATTGCTACTACGTTGATGAGGAGAGGTGTGTGATTAGTTGTCAGAGGGATTAACACGTGTTTTCAGAGTGGCCGTAGACATATGACCGACACTAACTACACCAGATCAAATGCAGTAGATTACAGGAATGCCAACAAGTATGGATTTTCCGATTGAACCTTCAGTGTCTTCACAAGACATTTTGATCACGATACTCGATACTGTAAGTTACGGGGGCTAATAATTGACTCAAGTTGTTCGCGGGATAAGAAGCGGGATAAGAAGCGAATAGAAGTAGAAGAATCGTGGCGAAAATGGAGATGTTTTCCTGTGTTACTATTTCTGCTTAAACCTCTACAGCTATATGAAGAAATAATATCCCTGGTTTGCGTTTTGTAGCAGATACACTGGTGTGATATTATTGATGCATGTTCCATTGGAGAACCAATTCTATTCTTTGACATTTTATAAATAAATGTGCTAAAATAGGCGACACATAGTACCCTAGCCATTATTTCTATATTGTTCAGGTCTATCAGAATAATATATAAACCGCGAAACCTGTGATTATAAAGTGTTAGACAGGTATTATTCTATGTATTCCCTGAGTTACAAATTTTATATAAAACATTCCTCCGAATAGAGCAACATATGGTACATGTATACTTGTCCTGACAACATGCCCACTCACTGATGTAATTAAAACTTAAAAAACTTAAAAACGACCATACAAACGCAGATTCATCTACTTAAATTCATAACCTTCCTAATTCATATTCATGTATGTATCATATATACATGTATTCGTCTACTCTTTAAGGTGTAATTTAGAAGTAGTAAACACACTATTTGATCACCATGTTAATTCTGATAAAACCACGTGTTAACACATGGAAATGTTTAATCTAGGCAAGATAGGCTATGTCTTACGATAAAAACCCAGATACCAAACACTTGTAATACCGAACACATGTGTATTATGGGCAGTTTTCTATGCGCTGTTAGTATGGAAGCAGGAAAGCGAAGCTCCACCGAAGTAAACTGGAAACTTGTCATTTGTGGACATAATACGTATCACTGGTTTTCGTAAAGCATTGCCAACAGTAGACAAAAATTATCCTCCCGATTTCATAATATTATATTTCTAAAGAATACGCATGGTTAAATAACACATATCTAACACGAATGAAAGTATATCCATTTGTGTTTCATCGGTACCTATTTCATCATATATTATTAAATTAGACAAAGACTTTTTCAGCCAATGTTCGTCTCTGGAGGGGTCGAATGACAAGTGATATTTGAACCTGTGGAAAGTTCAGAAACGGTGTTTCATTAGTGTAATGCGAAGACATTAGACATTAGGATCATGACAACAGATCGTATGTTATTTTAACAGCTATTCCTTCAATGTCAGCACAATGTCGGCTTGTTATAATTAAGAAAATGTTGGAAAATATGTACACCCGATACGAGCTCGACATGCAAGTTGAGCACAGCACTGTATGTCCAGAAGACATGAAAATATTTTCTTCCTTATTAATAATAAAAAAAGTTTTTCAATCGATTCCGGAAATGAAGGGAGCTTTCAGATCCAGGAATATGTATTTACGGTGTAATAAATGACTGGATTGTAGATTTCACAAACTATCTGGACGGCCATAGTGAAATACAGAAACGCAGCCTTTTTATTGCACATATATGTATTTGAAAAATAAACAGTATTATATATATTGTGTATATTTCCTTGCTATAAACTACATTACCAACGAATATACAAAGTTATACCGTTCCACCACCTACCGTCTGGAGTCTCTTCTCTGTCCTGACTGCATGTAGTACCATGGCGTTTCCAACTATTGTAAGAAGACACAGAATAGTCAAGACAGTGCCTAACGGAATCTCGGTCCAGAGGTCCCGAGCAAGATCCTCTCCCAAATCTGAACCGTTCCAGGAACCGTTCCAAGAACCGTTCCAGTCCCAATCCCCTAGCTGGTCAAAAAAGTAATCCGTAGGAAATGTGACTGAAGTGTAATCAGAAGTGGACTCCATGTCCTGTCAGCTAACCCCAATCTTTCCTCATCGAATCGGTGGGACCATCACCTTAGATGCTGAAACAGGTAAAGAAACCCCCTTTCCTATGGCGTTTTCGGGTTCCTACAACCAACACCTGGAAGTTATCCAAGATTACCGACAAAACCTGAACCCCAGTAGTGCTCACCACAAACTTTATCCATTTGTTGCAAGTTGCTATGAAAACGTCTGTAAGACATTTCCTTTCACACAAACGCACTCCTCAAGCAGCGGGATATGTATTGATAAAATTACACTTTTCCTTCTTTGTGTATAGAAAGCAGAGGAGGTAATGCGCTACGAGGCAGTACACATATTGTTGCCTATTCCTGCTCGCTAGGCTCGTGTTGAACGAGCGCCCCGGACTTACTCGTTACTCGGAGTGACAGCTAGCGGTGGTAGGCCGCGGATCGATACATGGTGATGGATTCTGGGTGAGCGATGTCCATCCAGACTGGTCATTTTGCAACTGGAGGTAGTGGACGGATTACGAGGGGAGGACAGTCCTTGGCACTTGCCCGTTACGTCTCACCTCAGCATCACCTGGTGCAAGTATTGATCTCCTTTTCAAAGCCATTCTTAAACAATAACCTATTCTCAAGAGGTATAATACATGTCACGCTTGATTCTCGGTGTGCTCAACAAACTACACGCCGTCAAAAAGATACCAAAGTAGGTAAAAACAAAACGTAATTACAACGAGGTCATAAGTATGAGTAGGTCAAGTGAACCAACATTGCATGTGAAGATTTGTGAGCGAACACGCTGTGAGAATCCAAGCTAAGCACTGTGTTGTAAATGAGCTCATTGGTTTCTAATTAACCCATGTAAGCATGCATCTGGTACTCGATAACAAATCCCTCGATGGTAAACACTGACTTTGATAGCCCATCCCTTTTAAATGTCACGGGTCTGTGGTGCTCTATCTTCAGGCATGATTTCAGACAATTCCCTGACATTTTTGTCCTTATTGCATAAATTTTACCAAAGACCTAACCTTTATTTATATGGTTTGGCACCATGTTTCATCGTTTACACAAGAACTGCAGCAGTGATGTAGAGAGGCATGGCGTGTAAACGTAAGGAAGCGATTCTATTGACTCTGTTTCCACTGATTGATTAATGAAGTCGTTACGTGCGCCGTTACGGCAAATGAGCACACAGGTACTGATGGCTGCTCGCAAGCTAAGTTCACTCCCCTTCTTGTAGGGTTCTCGATTTAATACCTTCTGCAGGCATTCTTGATCTTTGCTCACAGCTCGGTAGCGATGATTATTAGGCTGTCTGTTTTCAGACCGTCCAAAAATATGAAATTGTCATTGTATGACAATCTAGATTATCCGATTTTGTAATCTACGTGATGACGACATGTCCTTCACGTGTACATAAAAGTGACATTTCCCTTTCCACAATCATAAGAAATCTTTGTCATAAGCAGAGTCCTTTGTTCCTATATCAAAAGCATGACTAACTATAAAAAAATGTGCATACCAGGTGTATCACAAACGATTTGATGAAAAATAAGTGTTTGTTTGTTGTTATAGTCAAGCTATATGACGGCGGTCTGTAAAAAATCGAGTCTGGACCAGACAATCCAATGATTGACATAATTAGCATCGATCTACGCAATTGTGATACGATGACATCAACCAAATCAGCTGACCTGACCAGCCGATCCCGTTAGTGGTTTATCCCTCTGTTAACATGAAATGGGCTTTACACATTGTTCCCATATGGAGAATCGAACCTGGGCCTTCATCGTGATTGGCGAACGCTTTAACCACCAGGCTTCCCCACCACCTCTTCAATGACGTTATGGTGACATCACCCACCATTTTAACCTACATCCTAAGAATACAATGCTGACGTTCCGTAACTAAATCGTTGCGTACCAAACAACTGGTGCCAGCTTAATGCGCCGTGTCCAACGTTCGACACAAAGTGACAAATTCCAGATGCGGTCTGATGCAATGATTAGAATAGTATCATACGACTTAGTGACATCGTTTAGCATCTGTTATTACTGTGTATAATATATTGTCCCTTTAGAACAGTAGGTAACTTAATTTCACTCAGGTCGAGAATCTCGGTAGAAGTTGGACAAATGAGATTACGTCATTAGCGGACACATTTTGCGGATTTCGTAATACGTGTAGAGAATTAATATAATTTTTTTCTTACATTGAAATATGTATTGGAATTGAAACATTATATTTGGTATATTGGCTTGAGATATAGAATTGTATAGTTATTTGAAATAACTGCATTAAAATATGTAATGTCCCTAATTAATTGCAAATTCATTCGTCTACGTGGGTACTTATCCATTTCCTGTCTTAAATTAAAGCGGTGTAATGATGTTCTGAAAGTATTAATTTTCTTGCATAGAATAAATTATTTTCAAGATTAAAACACAGTATGCACCCTACACTTTATGATATATTTGGACTCCAGTTTTGCCGATACATGTCAATTCTCTTCCTTATTATGTCATGTCATGTCCAGAAGTAGCCAAGTGCATTCATTTCAAGTCCACGTAAGGATCATATACAGGCTCCAGCAATGGTATCAGACCACCAACACTACAGATGACCGACCACGTAGTGGAAGACCAAGGGTCACCACCCGACGTCAGGATCGTCAGATTGTGCGACAGCATCTTCAAGGTCGCTTTGTTACTACTGCGGAAACTGCTCGACAGACCATTGGAACACACCTGCGACACATTAGTGCGGACACCTCCACTGTCACAGGCCACACCTAGGTAGGACCCAAGAGAGAGAGGGGGAATGGCTGACGACGTCGTGGGGAACGTTATTCGGATGCTTGTGTTGATGAGAGAGATTCATGGGGTGGTCCGAGCATTATGGTGTGGGGTGGAATTTATCTTGCGCAGAGGGTCGGCCCTGTTGTATTCCAGAACATCGGTCTAGGGAGAGGCAATGGTGTCACGGCAGCTCGGTAATTGATCAAGGCCGATAACTGCAGCTGAACTGCGTCAGGCGTTCCTCAGAGTGTGGGCTCAAGTGCCTATGGCCTTCATCAACCGCCTCATCCATTCCATGTATCGACGTTGCACGGCAGTCATCAATGCACATGGCGGACACACGAGATACTGACTTGTGATGCTATTTTCTCAGAGACTGGTGTTGTGTCTCAGGTTAAGAACATTTGACACTTTAATTACAACCTTGATGATCAGTTTTGCCAAGTTTCATCTTTTTGATATGTCTCAAAGTATGTTTACAGTGTTTGGACAAATAGAAAATCTCACCCGAGTGTCTTTTGATGAAAGTGGAAAAATTCAGAGGCTTGCCGAGGTTTTTTGTCACTTTTATCAACGAGTGTTGATATATTTGATATCAAAAGACACGAGGGTGAAATTTTATTTATCATCCAACATCATTCTTTCAACTTTTTCAATTTGTAGACAGTAATTAGCAGTGTCTTCAGTGTAAAAAGTACTGCAAACAGCTTCAGTAGCAGAGCCATTAGTGATGTCATTTTATTGTCACGTCATGGTGACCAATGACGTCACAATGGTCTGCAAAGCATTGTGATGTAATTTCATTGAAGCGATATCTACCGTGTAGATATCGCTTGATCTCTTCCAAGCGATATCGCCTGTGGGGGCCAGTTTTGGATGATAAATAAGGTTTCTCATATACCTATCCATGGTGACGTTTCTTTTGCGGTTCACTATATATGGAAGCATTAACGGTTTGTAGTCTTGACCAGACAACTATCATTCGTGTTGTGACAACAGAAGGGTACCCAAGTGGTTAAAGCGTAAGTTCGTCACGCCGAAAGCCTGGGTTTAAAGCTCCACATGGGTACAACATATGAAGCCCGTGTCTGGTATCTCAAGCCCTGATATTGCTGGTATATTGTTAAACGTGGTGTGACATAACACCAAAGTTGTAGTCTTTCCAAGTCAACATCTAGCATCAAGATGATGTCTGCATTCCTTTATAGGTAGCAGCATCCAAGGGAACTCCACATCTCCTTTTTTTTCCAAAATTCGCCTTAACCACGTTTTATTTATAGCATTCGTCACAAGAGATGGCCAAGGTGAAGTTGAAGGTCGACAGTCCTTCGGAACCTGGCCATATTTCAACTCATTGTCACAAAGATTTAGACAGATTCCAAATGCGCCTGTTTAATGCATGACCTTATCAACCCGGGTAACTGGTCCAAATTGCATTCTCAGCTCCCTAGGGAGAGTAAATCAAACCCGCCTGTTAGGCATAGAATGTTCGGCATTAACATTACTATACCCAGCGGGCATACATTCGCTGCTGAAAGAACAGAGTCAATTGTCAAACAAAGATACGTGCCAAAATAGGGACACAATGACCATGTCTTTTAAATAAACTGTGTTCCTATGTAGGGGAGGATGAGAGACCAATTGTAGACGGGGTGTATCATTTCTAGGCAAACGGGCTATAGGTGGAGAGATTACACCGTTAGGAAGGACGTTATGGGTGTCTGTAACCACAGACTCTGATGTCAACATGGAGAACCATGTTTGTTTGTCGTTTAACGCCGCACTCAGCAACATTCCAGGTATATGACGGCGGTCTGTAAATAATCGAGTCTGGAACACACAATCCAGTGATTGATGTCATGAACATCGATCCATGCAATGGGGATACGATGCCACGCACCAACCAAGTCAGCGAGCCCCACCACCCGATCCCGTGAGTCTCCTCTTGCGACAAGCATAAATGCAATTTACGTCAAGCATGGGTTGCTGAAGACCTATTCTAACCTGGCTCTTTACGGATCGAGAGACCAATGAACAGATGGACAAACATACGGACTCATGGAATGACTGAGGTACATACAAGGTGGAATCGAACAGACTGACACTGTTAATTCAACGCTTCCGTATAAACATTCATCTTGCTATCCTTTCGCGAGTAGCTGCAAGATTGCTGATGCAGCCTGAACCAATAATCTCTCACTCACTCATTTTCCACCCTGTTTATGAAGCATATAGGGTTAAGAACAGGCTCCAGCATATAATAACAGGTAATAACATACTTTTCGTACCCATATAAGTTAAGATGATAAAAAGATAAAAAGGTTTGACAACACGTGGTATTCTATCTTTAGGGTTCAATATATAACATATAATATCAACAATATTGACACGTTTAAACCATTCCAGGACTAAGAATGGACACTAGCCCGTGGCTATAAATCAGCTTGGTTGCTGGTTACTGGTGCGACTAAGCTCTAGTTGTATTAAACGTTTGTGGATCAATGCAGCAGTATCACGTCAATGCATCAAAGTAGTAACATTGGACTCAATAAGATATCGATGATACGTATTCAATATATCCTTTCAAATCATATTGGAAAACATGTTTTTTATTTCGGCTATACTGATTTTTTTCTTGGTAATCGTTGATCAGGAAAATATCAATATAGAATGGAGTTACTGAGATGTCACAGGAATATGGGCTTTATGTA